TCCAGTGATCGTTCGTGCGATGAAAGTGCTTTCGAGTACTCGCCCATGTTTTTATACACCGAACCGATGTTGTTGTAGGAACCAGCCAAGCCGGGATGATTCGGAGGGAGAGCTATTTTGAGGATTTCAAGTGATATTTCGTACGATGAAAGTGCTTTCGAGTACTCGCCCATGTTTTTATACACTATACCGATGTTGCCGTAGGATTGAGCAAAGTCGGGATGATTCGGAGGGAGAGCTATTTTTCGGATTTCAAGTGATCGTACATACGATGAAAGTGCTTTCGAGTACTCGCCCATGTGAGAATACACGATACCGATGCCGTTGTACGACGAAGCCAAGTCGGGATGATTAGGAGGGAGAGCTATTTTGAGGATTTCAAGTGATATTTCGTACGATGAAAGTGCTTTCGAGTACTCTCCCATATCATTATACACCTGGCCAAGTTGGTGACTGTACTCCGCTCGATTTTCATCAGAAGATGCCTTTTCGAGGAGGATCTGATAGAGTTGTTCTGCTTTCGGAGACTCGCCCACTTGAATAAGTATATAACCCAGTCGAGACCATCCTGTTTCCCTACCAAGCTCTTCACGTAGATGTGCTGTAAGTGTGTTTAATTCATGATTGTCGTTACCCACAAGAGTAAGTTTGACTTCCCATAGACGATCGGTATGATTGTCTTGGATTTGTATAATTCGGTCGATGCGAAATATTGTATGTGTTGTGAAAAGTATTTCGGCTTCGTTGTCCTTGAAATAGCCATCTTTGCTGACATCGACATAAGGAATTGATGATTTGAAACATATTGCTGGATCGATGGTCATTATGAAGAGGATACCGACCATATTGGAATTTTTCGATGCTCCTTCTCGAGCAAATGTAAGGGACACTTGACGATTTTCACTTGTGGATAAGAAATTATTGAAGGACATAAGTTCTCCTTTGGTTTGTTTCATTTTATCGAAATTTTCAACTGACAAACCTTGTCCACGGAATACTGTAAATGGTTCCGTAGCTTTCCTGCTGGATTGTTGTTGTTCATGATATAATTTTTCGATATGTTGATGTAAATGACGAATAAAAAAACCCATTTTGATTATAA